TGACCTGAAGAAAGCTGGCACCACTGTTTCCATAGTTACTGTGGGTACACTGCAAAAACGTAAAACCTTACCAAGTCTAATTTTCTAATGTCTAGTCAAAACCTCTTATCACACTTAATATAAGTCAAAAACATCTATCTAAGTAAGACATTACAACTTGTTTTGAGACAATGCATCTTGAAAATCTTGATAAGGCAAAAAGTCTTGAAAATATCTTGTTTTGAGTCATGTCTTATTTGAAACAAGCTTTTTTGACATTTCATAAACATTTGCAGTCTGTAAAACGTGAAAAATCTTGTTTCAAGATAACAAACTAACTTGAATTAAGACAAATCTGCTTCTTTGATCACTCAAAGTATTAAACATTCTATTTTATAGGTTCTTTGAAGTCTGTCCCATTACAATTTCTTTAAACCAATAGTTCATTAACATTTTTTACATTGTATTTCTTTCCAAGGCTTAATACTACATAAACATACCTACTGTGCAGTTTATATTAAATAGACAAATAATGCAGGTTCGTTTCACATATTTATTTTAACATGTGACGGCCTCAAAATGCCAGTGCCGTGAACAAACTATCTTTTTTTGCATAAAATGCAGAAATATTAACACAACAAACCTTTGTTTGTTCCAAATACCAAGACTCTTCACTGATTTAAGAATGATATTTGATAATATCTGTGAGGTCATACTTCACTGGAATGTACTTGCTATCACTGAAATTCACATAAAAGTATGGTGTGTAATCAATAAGCTTATTGGTATCCACAAAGATATTGGCTTGAGCTAGACAGGGAATTTCTACCTCATAAGCTAAATAATGATTATTCCAACCAACTGTAGAGAGAGGCTGGCACTCAAAACAATACAATGATGCATTTGCAATGTATATGTTTTTCACAAGAGCAAATTCTGGAGTACCCCTGATAACATTAGAAATAACCAAAGATTGTCCACAAGTATGCTTATTTCCACAAAGATTAATCCACTTTACTGTAACTATATGATTAATTTCCTCAATTCCTAAGAACTCTTTAATCTTTCCTTCTACATATTGAACATTTTTCACCTCAGAAACTGGACCCATGTCACATTCACTGGAAAACATTGGATGCTTCTCATGCACATTTTGACTACATTCATAAAGTTGGTTGTGCTTCAAAAGAGATTTACAAATATTTTTAAAGCTACTTTTCAAAGCCCACTGCTTAAAAAAGCAATGCTTTGACTCAAAGCGCATACACATATGCCTCACTGTGGGACCAAGAGCTTTAATCTGAGAGGGAAGATGCAGCAGGTAATGCTGTTTAGGTATAATATTAGCATCAGGAAAAAGTTGTTTGAAATGTTTTAAATGTTGCTCTATTAAAAGACTAAGTTTTGACAAAGTTGAGAGAGCAATAATAGGTGAAAACAGAATTTTGATTATTTCAAGCAAATTAAGTAGCATTCGAGTGTAATTGTTTTGTCCAATTTTATCAATGAGAAATGGCAGTATCTTTAACAAAACCAGCATCTGCCCAGCTGACTGTTTTACTTTGTTGTCATTTGATGACAATGTATTGAAAGATATGGGGCAAGGTTTGTCCCTTGCGTCTAGGGGGGAATATGGGAAAGAAACAATTGCGCTGTTAAATGTATCCAAGTCCATATGCCCTGACAACACAAGATGTTTTAAAACACATTTGATTTCATATGGGGCAACACCTTCAAGAATAACATGCATGATATCTTGTGGGGTTTGATTGATTATATCAAAGTAAGGACATTCTGTTAATTTGCTTCTCCTGTTTACACCATAAGTTGTTTTTAGACTCTCTCTCAGAAAGTCAGTGGTTGCCTTTTCAATGTCGTTACATTGCTTGTTGTGGTTTGCCATTGTCCTTTTAACAAACATATCTTCATTAAATTGTTTCTGCATGTTTTCAAAGTTGCACTCACAGTGCCTGCATTTACTATAGGCAAACCCTACTCCTTCCTTAAATCCAGCCACTTCATGCTGAGCTAGTGTGTCTCCACATACAGACAGAAGTGCTCCATAAATTGTCCTCTCACCATTTGCAGTATTAATCTGCACACCATCACACAGCTTGAGTAAGTCATGTTGAATTCTCTCAAATATTGCATCAATACCGCAACGAGAAAGATCTTTTGATTTTACCATGACAAGAAGACGAATTGCAGCAAGTCTTGATCTGTATTTAGGGCTGATGTTACCTAAGGTGTAATAAATCATTAACAATTTGTTTTTGTTTGACCGTGATCCAAGAGGATTGCATAGCTCAATTTCATCTGTATAAAAAATCAACTGCAATGCTTTAGGAACTTTCAAAAACAGTGGGTGTGACTTAAAAATGTCTCCATCAACAAAATCTTGAAAAAAGCCATCATTGCATTGCTGTTGCCCTTCATCAATCATTGCAAGAACTCTCGGATGGGATAGCAGTTGCTCCAAACTTTTCACCAGCGGTACATAATGAAAACAATGGTCCTTGGTGGAAAGAACTCTGGAGTCCCCATGTTTCACATAACATACAGTTTGTTTTGCAACAACAATCTCAGGTTCAACTGGTTGTAGCAGTTCTTTGATAGTTTTATTCTGCAAATGAGTAGAAGAAATTTGACTGAAAGGGTCAACAAACTTGTCAAAAATCCCTAATGCACCACTCCTTAGTTCATCCAGGTCCCCAGAATGTCCTTCAATCAAGCTGCACATTTGCTGTTTAAGGTGTTCCAACAACACTGCCTGGTACTGCTGGACTCCACTCACCATATGGTTAACAGCCCTCTGAATAGAAAAAAAAATATATATATATTAAAATTTATTAGAAAATACAATAAAATGCAAACTCATGGACACAACTTTGTAAGGATCATTCATTTAAATATTGTTGGTGACATGAAAAGACCAAAACTTTACCAAAGTTCTAATGGTTTCTGCATATTTATGAATATTTACAATTGATTTTATACTGCATTTTAAACAATAAGTGTACATGTGTATACTCTGTTTCCTCTATTCTTAGCCTATGCTCAGCAAATACATTGAATGAAGAGAGTTTATATCTTATCTATTGACTTATATATTGGGTGGTTATGTGAAACACAAAGTCACTCAAATAGCAAGTGGAGAAACATTCTTATTGCGTTTCATTTTACCTAAAGTAAAATCAAGGTTTGAACAGTGTCCAAATACAATTTGAATTATTGAAACTACCTGTGTCAGTCGCTGTGTTTCTCTGGCTTGAAGGAGAAAAGCAGTTGCATATTTCGAAAGGTCCAGATTCGTGTGACCCTCTCCACCCTCTTGAAATTTGCTCTGAAAAAGATTACCAAAATAACCACATCAACAAAGAATATACTGGTGGGTAGCAGACACTCGAACAGTAAATACCGGACCTTTAAAGAGAATAATATAAAATTGTGTGTGTTGTGTAAAAGTGAATATTTTATAAAGATGATCAGATTGTACCACCAGTTACTACCAGTGTTGAGCCACTTACTGAAAATTACAAACGTTAGTTGCTAGTTTTATATAAAAAATACAAATTAACTTTTTTAATTGCTGCATCTTGTAACATTTAATTTGAAAAAAATGAAACTGCAGTACTTTTAAATACATGGCAATATTGTCTTCATAAGGTGTAAATACACAATGCTTAATATTATTTTTAATTTATTAATTTTTCTTGATGTGTAATTTGAACGCATCATGATTTCTTATTTACCTCAGCCTGATCACATTTTAACAAACCGTCCCTGAACGCTTCATATGCAACACGAAGATCAACTTCTTCCGTTTCCAGCCTGTTATAAACAATAACTAGCGGGATTTAGTCATAAATTTGGATGATCAGAAAACTACTCTGACTGGACTGCAGTGAGTGTTTCTACCTCTTCTGCTCTCATCCACATTTCATCTAAGGTAAGTAATTACAAAGTCTCTTAATGCATCCTGTGTTCAGATAACTACCTTCACATTATTTGCCATGAGTAATGTAATTAAGGCATAACATAACTCATTGGTTTGTTGTCACTGAAAGAAGCAAACTGTACTTGATGTGCTATGAGCAGCCAGCTGATCTTAATAAATTACTTACTGTTCCGACGACGATGCTGGAGCCATTGTTAGCTGACGTTACTGCAGAATGCGCTGCAGCCCCGGGTAGAGTTGTGCTTGTTTGTTCGTTCTTGGCTGTTCTTTCATTTACTCCATCAAAAGTTGATTCGTCCTCGTCTGCCTCAATGTTGAGAAGATGGTGTGTGTGCGTCCGCTTTACGTGATAGTAAAAGGAGTTATACACTCTGTACTCACTTGGACAGCCATCAATTCCACACACCACACGAAAGTCAGGACTCCGACTATGCATGACGTTAATGTGACTCAAAAGTTGTCTCAAAGACAACGCCACAAATACGTAGCAAATAAAACAGCGCCAAATCATGTTGGATCAGAGATTTTCGTTGGTCAAAGGATCAGAAAAGGTGCTGTCGTACTACTGTGTTGATTGTC